TCAGGGCCTGGGCTTTGTTCTTCGGCTTTGTTTTAGCTAGGATGACAGTTGTGAACCACTGGCACCATGCCTGGCCTTGCATTCTTGCTTAGTTTATTTTTGTTGTTGTTGTTGTTCAAGGTTGATGCTCTACTACTTGAGTCACACCTCTATTTCTAGCCCTCTTGGATCTGTCTGCCCAGCTTGGCTTTGAACCATGATCCTCAGATCTCTGCCTCCTAAGTAGCTAGGATGACAGGCTTGAGCCACCTGTCCAGCCAGGCTCTGCTTTCATTTGTTACCTGTCCTGAGGTGGGGGCTGGGGGGCATGTGTGGCATTTCCTTTCTGTCCTCAGTCTTTCTTGCTGAGGAGCAGAATTGGTTTAATCAACTAATATATTTCTCCCAGAGTCAAGAGGCCCTTGAACAGCACAATGCCAGGAATTGCCTGGCTCTGAGTTGGGGCAGAGATGTTTTCTGGCTGGGACCCTGGGAGCCATGGCCTTGTGGAGTGCTGTGTGCTGAGTTCAGGAGCCAGGAGGAGAGGAGAGGGCGGATGGGGAGAACTGGGTTGAACTAGACATGCAAATTCACCTTTCTCTCTGGACCCAGCTTGGAAGGGCAGCTGGCCAGGCGGGTCAGGTGTGGCTCATGGATGTCCAGCTGCAGGTATGGGTCAAAACTGTGGACACAGGAAATGTTCTGGCATGCAAACCAAAGGGGGCAGGGTGGGGCCCTCCATCCCCCTTCTACCCCAGACCCAAGGCCAGGGGAGCCTGTCTCTTTGAGAGCCTGACCCTCCCCCTCCCCTTCTCTGCTCTCCCTGTTCTGCCCACCCTGCCCTCCCTTCCCCGCCCCCCGCACCTCCACCCCTTGTGTTTACTGAACCTGACCCACCGCCCTGGGCCGTGCTGGGCATCTGGGTTGGCATGGGCCTCTGGGCCTGTTCTCAGGAAACCATGGGCACCGCGGCCAGGCAGGGCAAGGATGGCCACTGACCTCTGCCCCTGCCAGGATGGAGCCTGGCCACATGCAAGCTGGTCCTGAACAGCACCCCCCCCATACACACACACAACTTAACTTCCCTCCTAGGACTTTCCCCTGCCCTCCCTCCCCCTGCCTCAACCTCCCTGCTCCCAGGAGCTTATCCCCCTCCCCCACAGCTACCCACACAGCCCAGTCCCAGGCCTGATTTGTTTGGA